ACTTTTCAAGCACATGGCATCCACATTTCACTTCTTTAATTTGTTTTCATTAATGCAGCTGAAAGGCTAGAGTTAGGGTTGTCTTTCATAAACCATATATGTTGCTCAGTCGTACTACAACACTTCAAAATATGATCATAATAATACATTATTGAAAATCCCTTTATGAACATAATTAATTATTATTTTAATATTATAGAAATCAATTCCAAAAACATTAAATTGACGGCAAACCTTATGATTATTAGATCGAAAGACCTAAGTTTAAAGACCTTAATTAAAATTGATTTCATCATCTCTGTCATCCTTGACTCATTATACACACACAAATATCAAAGTTATAGTCACAAAATCTACTTTGTGGAAATATCATAAGTTCTATAAAGCTAAAAGAATTAAAGATAGACTTATCAACACTCACCAACTTGCTTGCAGGGAATATATCAGCCGCCCCAGAATCTTGTGACTAGCAACCATTTGCTTCACTAGAAGTTTCAGTCTTAGGTTTGCTTTATTATAATATTTTTGCTTTCTCATTCATATACTAATACTTATTCTCCAAGTGAAATGTTATATCACTTTTGATCTTTTGGGTTCCTTTTCCACTCAATCTAGCAATCTACTTGGTGGCTTTATAATGCATATATACATGTTCAAGTAGATGCACTACTAATTACTTTTTATATTTGTGTTTTGAAAACAAAAAAGAAGCTAGTGGTCCATTTCATAGAGGGAAAGAATCGTCATCAACTTGTGCAATTAATTGATCATATAGAAAACAATTAATAGTTCTGAATAAGGTAGATTACTGGGATTCAAACACCAATAGAACATAAAGCTTTTGTTTCTTTTTCCACTTTTGCAATCTAGAGGTTCCATTAAGTTGATGTTTTGTTTATTAAATTGGTGTGGTCCTTTGTGTCTTTAAGCTGCACACAACATATGTAAACTAAAGGTAAAATTTAATTCTGATCAAGTTTTTCTGAGCCACCAAATTAATTGAAGGAATATATGGTCCTCACTAGAACACCGGAGAAGATTAACCAGTTAATTAAATTAATCATTCACTCTAATTGCATTAATATCACTTAAAATTTAAGTTAAAGAAAAAACTATTATTATAAGATGAGAGATGCTTCTTTTTTATATTTAGAATTTATTATATTATATATATAGCAAGTATCGCTGTCCATATTCTCTTTCTATATATCATAGTGTGGAAAAAATGAAGCATTTGTTGACTATCTCTTTATGATAAATGGAATTTGTTATGGAACATGATGTATGTGCATTGATTGAAATGGATTCCAATCAACCAACCCTACGTGCGGTTGTTAATAATGCGAAGTGCTTGTTAATGATAGTTTAATTAACTTTAATTCAGGTCCAAAAAGAAACCCTACTTTTAGTTTCTTTTACGTTTTAGGCAAGTTTGAGTAGTTTAAGAAGAAAAAAGAAACTGATTCAATGCAATAGTGCATGTCTGAATCTTGAGTTTAAGTGCATGTTTGGGTTTTAACGCAAACGTGAATTTTCACGTTTAGTCGAAGCAAAAAAATTTTGCTTCCACATAAAATTCATCTTCAACGTGGAGAGAGTGTAAAATCAAGTTTCAAAATCCAATTCAAACATGCACTAAGAATCTGGCCTGCCTTACCCCAATTAAGATTAAAATTTTTTGAATACAACTAAGCATGTTCAATTATTTCTTTTTATATATCAAAGAAGACACTATAATAGCTTCAATTTTAAGGTAAAATTAGTTCTTCTTATTTTAATCATGTCTCACCATATCTATTAAAATAATATGAGCTGTTAAATATGATTTAGTCTATGTGAACGAATTCTGATTTTAATTTCTATAAATTTTGTCCTTTTACTTTCAATTATTATAAAATTTGAAATAATTTTTTATTATTGTAAAATAAATAAATTTGGGCGGGCCATTTTAAAGAAAACTTTTGTTTAATTTTCATCCTCCAAAAATATGAAATTACTAATTTTGGTCACCAATGTTTATTTGAATATTGATAAATAACATTTATTTTAAATATTTTAAATTTTTTTTAGATGTATCAAATGTTGATATAATAGTATAAATACACATGAGTTCAAGATGATCATTTAAAATTTTGTTGAATAGATATAGTAGTTAACAAGTATTACATCATGATGAGATTAAAAATAATGAATTTCAATTTTAGAAGATGACAAATAATTTTTTTTTGGTAATAATATCAAATGGTAAATAAATTAATACGAGACAAATATTAATATATAAATTTTATTTTTAGTACATTTTTACTACAAAAAAGAATAAAATGTAATATTAAAAATGCAACGTAATTTTGTTTCATTATTAAAAGAGTGAAATTAATTAAAAAATATAAATCATATTTTACTTCATTTTATCCACACAAATATAACATTATTTCAATTAGTGAAGTCGAGAAATTTTATATTTTTATATTTTATTTGATAAAAGTATTTAAAAATTATCAATATTTGTTAGATTAATTAATATTGTATTTGATTTTCAAATTTTAAGATTTTAAATTTAAATTTTATATTTGTAAGATAATTAATTTTTAATATTATTTTTATTAATTAAAAATTTAAAAATAAAATCATCTAAAAAAAACTTTCTACACTAAATATGTTATCGATAAATTTAGCCCTCTCTTCTCTCTCTTTATTTTTTATTTTTTATTTTTTTACTTTCTTGACTTTAAGTGAAAATGTTATTTTTTTTAATATCGTTTTTGGTGGAAGTGTTATTTTTTTTTAAGTTAAATCAATAAAACATGACATATGTTCACATTATACGTGACACGTGATTTTTCTTTCACACCTTTCTTCCTGGAAGCCTATCTTTTCTAGGTAATTAACTTAATTTTTCCTGGAAGCATATCATCTAATTAATTCGTTAGAAGCTTAAATAAGTATTTGGGGGTTAACTTTCATTTAGCTGAAAAATTAATAATTTTCACTAAATTATAATCAAAATATCTAGAACCTAAATTATAACAAAATATAATGTAAGGAAAGAAGTTGCAAATTAATGCCAGTATATACTCGAGGAAATCGAATTAATATTAATTTTACTTTTGAAAGTTTTTTTTTCTTCCATTATTGAATATAGTAAGAATGTTATTAGGAAGTAGATAACAACCCCAATTAAACTGTAATAATAATAATAAAATTATACTGCATAGTGGTGCTGGCATGCTAGGACAATTAGTAAAGGTCCAACACAGAGGTTTATTGCACTGCTTAAACCACAATCAAATCTTATGATGAAAATAAATGATGCCACTAAAAGGGTTTTGAATGGTTTTAGGAGATTTGAACTTGTACGTATAGGGAAGGTGGGAGTCTTTCTCAAAACCCTTGATCTTTTGTGTCAATTTTTATTGGTTGAAAGGTCACATAGTTGGAAAATAATGTTCAATGAATGGTTGTACAATACCATCTTTTTTAGTTCTAAAAGTTTAAAATTAAGTGGTAATTAATTTTCTTACCCAAAAAACTAATTATGAAATATTGGGGCAGGACCGAATCTTATTGCTGAGATTGTAGTGTGGTGTTTGATTTATTATTATTATATATATATGTTTTATAATCAAAAGAAATAAGTCTCTTTTATTAAGTCAAGTAATTCCAAGAGTAAAATAATATAATTAGTTATGTCTAAACTAAAAATGCAAACTTATAAATAATACAAATACTAAATTATTTGTACTAACAATTTTGATATAAATAATTATTATAAAGCAAACAATAAAAATATCTTAATTATAACATCACAAATATGTATAAATATTTAAAATAGATGTATATTTTCTTGCAACATTTAATAATTGTTCCAAAAGATAACACAAGTAATTAAATCTATTTGTTCTTATTAGATAAGCCTCGACTATTCTTATTTATACTCTCTTTTCTACCGTGTAGACTTATACCAAATGGAGTAAATGATATCTCTTGCATGAATCATGTCTTTTCTAACTAATATAAATACTATTTTTTTTTTGTAAAAACAAAATTCATTTATAATTGATATTGTCATGAGTAGAAATTTCAATACAATAAAGACACTATTTATTGAATTTACTGAGAAGATATTTATGAGGGATGAGCTATAATTTGTTCAAAATTATTTGACTTTCTTGGGAAAATGACAAGCATGCAAAAACAGAGGCACACACAGTGTCGTTCTAGAAAAGAAACTGAAGATGCTGTGTACAGTAATTTCAGAAACCGTAAGAGAGGTGGTTTTGGTGAAGTAAATTTAGTCATCCATGTTATGGTTATGTTGCTTTTAAGCGAAACAATAAAGATAGAGAGAGACAATAGAGTGAAAGAGAAACCAGAAAAGCTGTTGTAAGGGTGTCCCTTTCAAAAGGTGTGCTGGTGTGGTGCCCTGTAAAGGATCTATCCCATCCAGACACCCACAACACTGTCTCGAGATAAAAATTAAAAAACCAACGGTTCCAACTTCTAACCATCAAGTAAATTCCTCAATTTTAAATTCACAAAACAATATCATAAAAAAAGACAAAAATTTAAAATACCACTTTCAAAACTTTGCTTTTTTTCATAGATTATATGTATTATTTAGCAGGGACCATCTTGTTTGAGTCAATAAAAATGCTTTACATTTGCAAGGTGTGAGAATGAGAGCTCATTAGAAAGATACTTCACAAAAAGACCTATGAGTCAATTCTTGCGAAAAACATCTCTTTGAAAAGAGAATTTACCTATATGGTTCTAATTTTTGCAACCCTCTTCACAATGTTTAAATCAAATTGACGAATTGCATATTTAAGTTTTGAATCTAAAACTACTAATTAAGTGAGAATAGTCTCATACTAGATAACTCTATGTTAGTATAGATTATATGTATTATGTTGGAATTAAATAATATCATTAGAAATTGTTTTGTTTATGAATATTTAAATCAAACACATTCAAAATTTCTGTTAAACTAGAATCATCTCATATTAGTTGATATGACAAAGCTTTAGTGAGAGTTTTTATTTACAAATTTTTCAGGTTATATTCTGATAGGAGATTGGTATCTCGAACACTAAAGTAATTACATATGCATCCAAGTTTTAGGAAAGAAAACAAATAGAGCCAAATTTAGAAATGAGAAATTGAATAGGTGAGAGTGGAAACAGTGGTGGGGGAGGAAGATGGAGCCAAGTTTTGGTGATTGAATGAACCTCGGTAGTGTTGGTTTTATATTATATTTCATGTCTTGTGTAGTGTAGTGTGGCATAAGAACAGCATCAGAGGAAGGGCAGTGATGCAGCACAGATACTTAACACCTCTATTCCGACCAAACACTGTCACCTTTCCCACTGCCATCATCAAGCCCTCCCATAGGCCCAGAATCAATTCCTCTTCCCCATACCCTTAATTCACTGTCTGCCTGTCGAGATTACCAAAATCTTGTTCAAGATCTTGCAAACGACACGAGTTAAGTTGTTTCACCAACAGGGTATTAACCAACCCAACTCAACTCAATTGAACCGGTTCGATTTGGTTCGGTTCAGTTAGAAGTAGTAGGACACTGCATAGTGTATATATAAAGGGAGCTAGCTAGCTGAGTTTGCAAAAAAAGGCAAAAAGTGGTGCGTGGAGAGAGAAAAAAAGAGGGAAATAGAGAGAAGGGAAAAAGATGGGTTAGGCTGAAAAGTGAAAAGGGTGTGTAGTAGTATAACATTGTTGGTGTAGTTTTTGGCTTTTGGTTTTGGGGTGATGGAAGTGGGAAAATTGAATGGCAGGGGCTTTTGGAAGAAGCAAGTTTCACAGTTGCACAAGCAGCAACAAGAGGAGAGTGGTGAGAGAGAGTGCAAGGAATCATCAACATCACCAGCCACAACATACTAGGGATAAGTGCAAAGCTGGAAGAGGAAAACCACATCTACAAAAACAAAAACAAGGGTCTGACTCTGGATCCTCTCAGGAATTATCATCATCATCGTCGTCAGCAACAACCTCATCATCATCATCAAAATCTGGTTCTAAATTCGAGACATGTGACAGAGGAAGGAGAAGAAAACCAAGACAACCACGCTTCTCAATATCACCCTCACCAATTTCATATCAACCTCCAAAATCTCCATCCTCAACACCACCACCAACAAGAATCTTATTCAAATTTAGACACGGAGCTTTTAGACTTAAACCCACTCCAACCTCCAAAGAAACGCTCTTGTCTCCCTCCTCTACCACCGCCACCGCTTTCTTCATCCGAACATGCAAGAAAGATGGAGGAATCACACCACCACCACCATCGCCAAGCACCAACACCGTCGAGAGCGGCGATGAGAGGCGGCAGCGGCAACGGCGAGATTGTCGAGGTGCAAGGCGGCCACATTGTCCGCTCCACCGGGAGAAAAGACCGCCACAGCAAGGTCTGCACCGCCAAAGGCCCCCGCGACCGCCGTGTGCGCTTGGCGGCGCATACGGCCATCCAATTCTACGACGTCCAGGACCGCCTCGGCTTCGACCGCCCCAGCAAGGCGGTCGATTGGCTCATCAAAAAAGCCAAGGCGGCCATCGATCAGCTCGCAGAGCTCCCACCATGGAATCCTGCGAGCTCGATGCAGCCACCTCAGCAGCAGGAAGTCATCCATCGCGAGAACAAGTCTCTCGCGATGGAAGACAGGAAAGACTCCATAATTGCCTTTGGCAGCCGCGGTGAGAGAGACTCTCTCACCGCGGATACTGCTGGGAGAGTTCCAGAATTCTCCCACCAATTAGAGAGTGAAAATGGCAACAACATGAGCAACAAGTACAACAGTGGTTCTGGCTTTCTGCCAGCGTCGTTGGACACTGACAACATTGCGGAAACGATTAAGTCTTTTTTTCCCGTGGAGGCGACTACGACGTCGTTTCAGAGCTACCCTCCGGCGCCGTCGGATTTGGGACAGCAAGATCTGCGGCTCTCGTTGCAGTCCTTTCAGGACCCAATTATGCTTCACCACCAGCCTCAGAGCCACCACGAGCCGGTGCTCTTCGCCGGAACCGCCGCCGCGGCGTTAGGCTTCGACGGTGGTTCGGCGTGGTCAGAGCACCAGCAGCACCACTCAGAGGAACAGAGATTGCTTTATTCTGGTAACAGTGGCCACGGCGGCGGATTCGTGTTCAACTCGCCGGCGCCGGCGTTTGGCCAGTTTTTTTCTCAGAGGGGACCCCTTCAGTCCAGTAACACTCCTTCGGTTCGTGCTTGGATAGACCCTTCGGTCGATCACCATCACCACCACCATCATCACTATCTCTCGCCGTTAATCCACCAGGGTTCCGTCGCCGGAGGCGGCGGTGGCGGTGGATTTTCCGCCGCCGCCGGTGGGTTCTCCGGCTTCCGCATTCCAGCACGAATTCAGGGTGAAGAGGAGCACGACGGCTTATCCGACAAGCCGTCCTCTGCTTCCTCCGATTCTCGCCATTGATTTGAAAAACACACATCAAAAACCCCAACTTTGTTCTCCCTCAGGTTCTTTCTCATGTCTCTATTCTTGAAATCTCAATACGGTTCCTCTTTGTTTTTATTTTCTTTACTTAATAATTTATATTTTTTGTTTTGTTATTTTAGGGTTTGTGGGTTGCATCGAAGACGATTCCATTGATGGAGAGAAGAGAATATGCTTTTGGAAGATTAGGGTGAACGAATTTTCGAGCTGCAATGGGAATTCAAGATATTTGGGTGTGGGTTTCAGATGTGATAATTTCAATGGCTTGCATATGCCTTTCGTGGGAGTGAAGAAAATCTGAGGTTGATATTCAGGTTTTCCAATCCCTCGGTTTGTTATGTTAGTTTCTGTTATTCATGCTCAATTTGACTAGGATTAGGAGTACTGTGTTTTTTTTGTTTCATCTGTGTTGGATTGCTCAGAACCAAAAAAAATCTGTATTGGATTGATGTTTCTCTTTGTTAGTGATTGTGTCTTATTTGTACTTGTTCCATTTCTTTTTTTCTTATAATGTTCTGAAAAGCATTCAAATTGAATAAAAGAGCTGGTTTGCTCTATTGTATGTTTCCAAGTTAGCGCAGACCCGGATGCAAAATAAGGTTTTCTCTCCATAGCAAAACAGGGTAACTCAAATAAGTCCACATAAGATTTTTGCATTGTTTTGGTGAGGGAATCAAAATAGTTTGGTTGGCTTGGTGTGGTTGTTTGTTGCTGTCTTGTTTCAAATGCGAGAAAGAAGATAGTCTTTTATCGGAAGTGATTATATTCTCACAACATTTTTTAGACTCATATTTTCTTTTTCTATTTCTCTATTATATCACTCTACTTATTACTTCTATCTTGTAGAAAGAGTTGAGAGAAAAGTTGTAGGAGTATGATTACTGTTTCATTGATTCCTAAGTTATTATTATATCAAGGATACGAAAGAGGGGTTCTTTTTGCATAAGAATGATTGTTGTTTTGTTCCTTTTTTTACTACAACCATCCACCCGTCACTTGACACGAGCTTCCTCATCCTGCAAAAACAATTGGAAGGAAATAATAAGCTTCATTACACCCATCTCTATCATGCTTCGATTTTGGGAGCATTTGACTGAGAAGTCATTGTCCATGAACAGTAGAAAACTGTTGACAGAGAAGAAGGATTTGCGTGATAGTTGATTCCGAGCTTGGTAAAAGGGAAAATAAATATCCTAAATTCAGCATGATTTGCTGCTTTTCCTTTCACATGTCATAATTGTGGTTCTTCAGCTGGTTTAGTAAGCTATGACAGTGACTGAAAGCTTGATTAGGAATAAAAAAGTTAACGTGATAAAGGAAAATATCCGCAAGTCATGTTTGATGACCCACTCACCTACCTACTTAGTTAATGCAGAGTTTGGATTCAAATGAAAGCTTTTAAGTTCTGGTAGAATGGTTTTCTTTTCTACCATATAATTTTGAACCACATATCTTACCTTCTAGAACAAAAATATCAGGTGTTTTTTTGTTTGTTTTCAGCCCAACAACAGTAACATGAGGTAACTGTTTTTGGGTGTGGGGATATCTTTAGGTTGCAGCAGTCCATCATGACCCATGATTTTGGTAGATAAATCCTAACAGGTAAAAACAAATGGAAAAAGTAAAAAACAACATCTGCAGGGGGAGCCATGAAAAGGGAAGGTGATTGATGAGCACAACCAAGCTCAATTATGAAAGAGTTCACACTCATGGATGCCACTAAAGTGTGATACTTGTACATCTGTCTGTGGTCCCCTGCCTTGTAATCTCAGAGCCTCATAAAGATTTTTTGTAATGTTCACTTGGGAATGCTCTTCTTCAAACGGATAATGAAAAATAAATTGATTAAAAACACTTGGCCTTTGTTGAGATAGTGGCAATTATTTTTCGGTAGTTAGTGCTGCTGCTAGTCGGTTGATAAATAAAATTTCATGAAAAGCAAAATTCTAATGGGTCATCAACCCATCATACATCCTACAAGTCGGGTTACTATGTGTGGAAAGTGGCAAGTATTTAATGAATATGACACTACAAAGAGTGTCACCACCCCATTTATTAAATTAAACTACCTGAAATCATCCAATTATATTCATGTAGTTAAATGCTAAAGCAGCTTAATTATGTTACTTCAAATCAGAAACCAGGTTTCAACATGGGAATGGTAGATAATGATGTTTTTGTTATTTATTTTGGTGCAATAAATAATGGAAGGGGCAGGTTGATGATAGTGAAATATGGCAAGTGGGTATTTTATTTTATCTTCCAAAAAAGAAAAACTATTTGATCTCAATTGATATCAATGGATGGAAAAATGTGATTTATAAAAGACCTATTAAAGGTGATCAGTTAGATTTTACGACAAAAATTAGTTATCAATAAAATGGATAAATATTTTGCCCGAATAATATGATTAAAAAAGAATCTGTTGCCCTGGAATGCAAAGGATAGTAGACTATTTGTTAGAAAATAGAACATAAAACTGTGGTGTCTAGTGCACTAGACGGTCTTTAGTAGCGGTCTATATAAAGACATTGAAAGAAACGAACAAACTTAAAGATATAAAGAGGAGAGAAAACTTATCGGATATATGCACAGGAACTCAATTTTTCACTCATTAAAAATGTTTACAATAAGTGTTTAAATACTAAAACTAGTAAATCCTGATTGAGTAAAGCGAAAACCAAATTATAACTAAGCTAACCAGAAATCCAACACTATTCTTAAGTTTCAACCATTAGAAAATAGGAACTCAAGGGATTGGAAAGATGCAAAATCATGCATGTTTCTAACGGATCATGCAAATACAGATGACATTTACAAGTCTCCTAATTCAATGTATTGTATGTACACACCAGACGATATATATTTTCTTGAAACCAAATATGTATGCTAAAGTGAAGGAAAAATAATTGGATGAACAAAAGGTGCCATACAAGGGACACGTCAGGCAATTGATTGATCACCACAGATGACACAGGTGACAGCGTGGTTCATTTGGCTAGATTGTTCTTAGACAGCCCTGGAATGTTGTTTTCTTTCACTTTCTCAGTTTCCTTTCCGTTTGACAACTCAGACTCAGACAAGGGCAATTTGCTATCATTTTGGTCTTTTTTGTCTACTTTGCTTCTCTGTGGCTGGCCATTGGTTTTCTTTGTCATGGGGCCCTGAAAACGGACCCGGATTTCCCAAGGACGGGCTGCGACCCACCTCTCCTGCCAGCTCCAACCCCAGCTTTCCTTGCCAACGCTGTACGTAGCCTGGCCCAAATACTGGCTGCAGTTGGGCCTCCACTGCAATTTGATGTGTGAGTCCACGTGAGTGGGGTCAAATTTTTAGTTGAGAAAGGAAAACTAGGCTTCACCCCAAAGGAAAGAGAAAAAATAAACATAAAATGGACTATGTATTTATGTTAACTTAAAGTGGATTAGATTTACAACATAATAAAACCTAGTTTTAGTTTCTTGGTTTAATCGTACATTTTTTCATCTAACTTGCACAATTTTTAAAATTTTGTCACTTAACTTTTAAAATGGTATATTTTGTCATTCAAATTTCAAAATTTTCTATTAATTGATCGTTTGTTGTTATGCTAACATGACATATTGATAGTTGATATGTTATGTTGACATGACACATTATGTCATATTAACATTATATGTTATGTAAGTAATTCATATTACTGATCAACATACCACATTAGTAGACAATGTTTATGATACTAGTCAACTAATAAAGTGACAAAATATATAATTTAAAAAGTTGTGTTACATAATTCTCAAAAACATGAGTAGCAAAAAGTGTAGTTAAGTCTAATTTCTTGAATGCATTTGTTATTGTTTTCCAATATATGTAATTTACATAATAGTTTGTGTAATAAGTTGATATAGATTGAAGAAATAGTAAGCTCACAATGTAAAGATGTTTTATTGTCATTCAATTATAATCTGCCCTGTAAAGTAAGTTTATTTTCTTTTATAATAACTTCATTGAAGTCACATTAAGAATGATATATGATTGGTTGATCATGTAAACTTTTTGTACACTACCTATTAGACTCAAATTATCTGGGATCAAACTCTGTATGGTAAGAAAATAGTACTAAAAGCATGTGGAAAACTGTATTAAGTTTGGCATTAAATCAAGACCAGAGACAATCTTGGTTTGTTACTTTATTCATCCTCTCACTTTAGAGAAAATAAATGTGCATGATCAGTACCTGATGAGAGAAGGCATATGCCATAGCTCTCTCTCGTTTGACTGCTGCTTCTTCTCTCTGATGTATCCTCGAAAGTATCTCTTCCATTGTTTCAGAACCTCCACACCATTCCACCTGACACACATTTACCAACAAAGCATATTTTCTTGAAACTGAAAAAATGGCATGATTTGAACAATGGTTTGTTTATTACATTAACAAAAGTTTATAACAAGCTACATCAAGAAGATGACAGTAATAATACCTGGAGCTCATGAATCTTGGCCTCAAGTTTTAACTGGTTCTCCAGTTTCTTTTGCTTAATCCTGGCTTCTGTTATCATGTAGAGTCTGCGAGCCTTAATCTGATCCTGAATTCTGCTCCAAGAATGTATGTAGTTTAGCGCAGTTACTGTTTGTTCTCTGGCCATGTGATCTTGAATCAAAGCCTCAAATTTCACTGCTCCCCTTAGATGGTGCAATGTTCTTCTTGCCTGCATACACAAAGAGGAGAGCTTAGTAAGATTTAGACAACAGGCTCGAATAGAAATATATGGATTTAAAATCCAGATGGGTGAAAAAAACGAATATAGTTTGAAAAGTACTGTGCAGATTTGATTCATTTCATTAGTGACCATAAGCAAGTTTGTTATACATTATACCAAAACAGTTACTAATAAAAAGAAAAATTTATTTCCATGTTCAATTAATATAAAAAAAAAATTACACTGTCAACGAACAAAAAATTATGATAACTTTTGAAATAATAATTGTAAAATTTAATGAATTTACCATGTCAATTAGTTATTGAATGACAATGTAAAAATCTTTTATATACCGTGAATGCATAGACAATTTACTCTAAAAACGCCTACCAGAAACAAACAAATAGAGAACTATCTGATATCCCATAATGTCATTGCTTTTTGGCAAATATAAAAGAAGAATAATTAATTTTGACATTAACAGCCACATATATGTGATTGCATGCAAATTGGAAAGATAATTTAAGGTAATGGAAAAAATGATTATTGAGACAAAATGTGGGGGAGATTTGAGACTAGAGAAATATCAGATATTTTGAATTTTGACTTTTGCTTTCATTTACTTGCTTTCCTTAACATAATACTAAACTCTATTTGTTTACTCCCTATTAATGAAACATCAAATGCAGCATTACATTCAGAAGCTACAATGAAAAATGTGACAAATAAAGTTATAAAATAAATGGTGTTGACCACCATGTGATTATGTATAATGTACCAGAAATGCACGAAATGCATTTTGAATCCGAGTAGCAGCAGTATCTTCTATCAACCTCGTGGGAACTGTCCTTTCTATCCTTTCTACCACTAAACACTCACTTGGAATGCTACTTGACTCTTCATTAATATCTTCTTGTTTCTCCTCAAAGGACTCATTTGATTTTTCAGGGCTAGATTGCACCTTCTCAAAAGTGTGGCAGAGAGAATTATTCAGAAGCAATGGATTTGTCAAATAATGGTGAAAATATAGAATTTAATGAAGAACTATTTTAATTAGATTTCACAAAGACTCAAATCCTCCTCAGTCATAGACTAGAAGCAGAGAACCTTTCCAAATTATCCTAATAAATATTTAAACTTGAATTGCAAAGATTGTAAAGAGACAAAAAAGAAATAACCTTTTCTTGTTTCGATTTATCTATCTTCGGTTTCTTCAATTTAATGATCATCTTAAACCATTTCTTTGGACTCATTTCTATACCTGCACAAAACATTCCATCAATTGTTGATCTCATGCATAAATCCGTATCCATAGGGTTCTAGTTGAATTCTCCCATCAATTGTTTATCATGTAAACAAAAATGCAATGGCTAGTCACATTACCTTGAAGAATATGGTAATTTCTCATATTGTATCATACTAATGAACCATGTGTGACTGGTAAATTGAATTTGAATTTGATTCCTATTGAATACACTTTATAAAGTGTAGAATCATAACAGTTATCAATGATTCACATTGTAATAATATACATTCACATGTAAAACAAATAAATTATAAAATTGTTAAAATTTAAATTGGAAACTTTACCCTTTTTAAAGTGTATCTTAGAAGAGTCAAATTCAAGTTTGACACCCTGTCAAGCTGTGATTAGTCCACACACCCTATATATGACACCTTCCTAGTTTTGTTGCAAATCATTGAATTGTGATATTCCTCGATATCTTCTCCTTTAGCCCTCTAATTTGAGGTAAAAATGGAACATCCAAACCCCTCGAAGCTATCATCTTATTAAACAATGATTTTCACACTACATCATATATATATGTCCTATTGCACCTTAATCTACCTTCTAAATAGTTTTTCTTTTTCCCGTAAATAAATTCTCAATGAAAACATCGATTATTAGAATTTAAGAGAGTTGCTGAACTCAAACGACATGTTCATTTGAGGCTTATGACTTAAGTACCTCATCATGTTTATTATCTTACTCAATGTGTGATTCTTAATTGCATGTGTCATGTGGTACAAAAAAAAACTTATATGAAATATTGAATTTCAAAGCAAAACGTATAGCACCAAAATTCAACGAGCATCCATGTTTTGATCCTTCTAAAATCTACAATAACCACAACAGAATAGAAAGATGCAAAATAATGGGAAATGGTAAAGGGAACATACCAGGCAAAGTAGCAAAAGCAGACACAAACGAACGAGTGGTTGCTTGGAGAGGATGAAAGGTGGACAGTTATATAACACGTAGTACAGTTAAGACAAATTATAGAGTTCATAGCAAAGTGTGACAAACCAACCACACTGAAGCAGATGTTTAATCTCTTGGAAGATCAGGAGTCTCCAGAAAGGTAACGGAAGCTAGTCATATATTTAACCAGTTGCGTTTTCTGAAAATGAAATTACAATGATATCTGAGGAGCAAAATTTAATCAGATGTTTGAAACTATTGAGGTACATACTTTAATATTGTGGTAGCAAGACAATACTCCGTATCTAATATTCTTTTTATTTTATTTTATTTTTTCCTTATTATCGGTTGAAATTTATTATCAATTATTAATTTTGTGTGTTCTATATCATATTTATTTAGTTTTTTTTTCTTCATAATTTAGTGATAAAACTTATCAAATTTTGTGATATTCAACCAATAATGAAGAGAGAATTAAGAAAAAAATATGTTAAATAGAGTGTCATTAGCATTTCTTTCGATATTTAGTTAAACTAAATCTTTTGAAAGCATTTAAATTTTTTAAAATAAACAACTAAAGCATTTTAAGGTGTATTAGGGTCCAGTCTACTAGGCCCGAGATGCAGTAGCGAGTCTATCATTAAAATGCTAGTTAGTTGTTATCATAACTCTTGTGTTTTAAAGGACTCGCTAGGTTACTTATATTATTAGGTATCGAATTTCACACACATATGTATACATTTGTATAATATTGTTCACTTTGGTCTTCATGAATTTGTTTTTGGTCATTACTAGTAGAGACTATTTATGTTTTATTTATTTATTTATAAATATTTGTTTCTCAAGTTTTAACGATGTGAGACTCTATTTGTACCTCGACACGTATTTATTGACAATGTTAGTTGTTTTCTTTTACAGCATGGATAACTTTAGTTGTTAAACATTTATGTTTGGTTAGGATTAATGTTTTTATTTAAAATACAAATCAAACTTAAAACTTTATGAACCACTAAAATCGACCTTATGGTGGGTGTAACATCCCTTAGATTATGCCGTCTCAGTAATTTCATTTTATGACACTTCACACAACTTTTCATTGCTCACTAATCCCACAAACCAACACAAGATTTTTCAATGTGTTTTGTCCTCATCACACACTTTATAGAAAATTTCCTAGAAGGTTACCCATCCTTAAATTACTCAAAGTCAAGCACACTTAATTGTAGAGTTCTTATGTGATGAACTACCAAAAAGTAGATGCATCTTATTGGTATATGTAATATAACTTAATTCCTTTTAAGTTATCCTCAACTAATCAATCACATACTTATACAATCTCTGGATCATTCTCATTCCGGTGTGTTCGAGCTATTTCATGTAATGAGATGTTTGAAACTATTGAGGTACATACTTTAATATTGTGGTAGCAAGACAATACTCCGTGTCTAATATATATATATATATATATATATATATATATATATATATATATATATTCTCTTTATTATTCTTGAATATAATTAAGATATTACGAATATAAAAAGCCTGACCTGCTCACATACACAGTATGATCATCGCAGTCCATCCACGTAGAAACAGAAGGGTAAGCTAAAGTTCAATAAGCAACCATACAAGTACAAAATAAAATCCATACTACACATTCATCCAATCAAGTCCCAAAGGAACTCCCATCTCAATCAATCATCAGTTCCTCAAACATGAAGTCAACACCACACACTTCATCATACTAGAAATCATGCAATAATAGCAACTCATGACAGATATCAATGCATATCAATCATCTAATGCATCGTCACGCATACACCTAGGAGATCTCCCTAACAGCAAAGCAGGATAAGTGACATCCCAATCCTACCGAAACTACCCCAACTTTTTTCATGCCCAATGCGCCCACTCGGTCACAGCTAAATAGGATATAAATCCTCACTCGAGTTTATTCGGATGATGTGACTTACACACTTGGAAGTCCGGTTCTACCATCAGGTATAGCATAGCTGGGTACAGGCTTACCACGACCTTGGCATGCATTACCAAGTCACTTGTGGAGTTCGCCCACTGACTATCCGCAAAGAACCACGCACCTTCCCCAGTACTTGGTTAAGGGAATAATCCTCGACCTCATACTCTGCTCTAACACTAGCTAAGGAATTAGAGCCAGTGGTCTATCCAAGCACCACTCTCACCCAAAACCAGTGGCCTATCTAAGCACCACTCTCATATAAATTAGTGGCCTATCCAAGCACCACTCTCAAGAGACTCTATGTGAGCTCTTCCAGTTTGAAAACATTTTCCCTCTCCTCAAGTCCTAGGCTAGACACATGTCATAAGGCATCACATGCAATAATGCATCATACATCATACATGGCCAATCCACCATAATGATCGATATCATCCTTATATGAACATATACACATGTCATATTATATTCAAACATTCATATATATCATTACCAAGCATACATATGAATCATACATCACCATACATCATATATCATACATACATGATCAAATCTTCAACTTTAAACATGCATAAACATCATTTTCAACCAATACTTCTAAACATACTCACGCCCGGCGTAGCCAATGCGCACCCAACCTAAATTCAACTAGAGAGTTCTAAAACTTATCCATGCCCGACGTAGAATTTCCATGCCCAGCATCATTGAGACAAAGACTCATAGGAGTCTCCACGACCGGTGCATCAACCCTATGCCTGACGTCGTCTAGACAAAGACCTCCAGAGGTCTCCACGCCCGATGCACTTACCCTGCGCTCAGCGCCATATCAGCAAAACACCATCCAAGCCATTATCTAATATCGCGCCCGGCGTGGTTCTCTTCACGCCTGACATGACTCATCTAGAGACTCTTATCTCAATTCGCGCCCGGGATGACTAACCTCGCGCACGGCGTGAATTTAAAATGGTTGCCTTTGATGAATGCACGCCCGGTGCCAAGAACATGCATTCGACGCAAATTCAAACAGTAGCCTCCAAAACTTGGAAAATTTCATCAAAACCTGAAAATCAGAAGATTTCCACCACATGCAATCCATGCAATATAATACTTAAATCCCATACAATTCAAAAATATTCCCAGATTCAACATGCACCCACCCGATGCATCAAAATTACCAAAAAACCCCATTTTTTCCAAAACCCAGAAAAATGAGCAATTCCTTTAATCCAACCTTGGATTCTCAAAATTCATGCAGCAATTGAGTTCCTAAACTCACATGCAACCAAAAAACCTATATTCTAGCTTCCCTCACCTGAAAGATTGGCTCAAAGTAGCCAAGAATTGAGAAGAAGAAGAATTTCTCCCGAAACTCGACTCACGGACTTCAATCCTCCTAAAACAAGCTTCCTAGCCTGAATTCCAAGAAAAGACAGAAGGAATTAGTGATCTAGAGAAGAAAAAGAATCAAATAGAGAAATTTGGGAGAGAAAGGAGTTCATGGACTCAGAATCCTTCTCTCTAAAATCTCTCTCTAGATTTTCTTTGAGAATGAGCTAATAAAATTCGCTACCCAGAGAAAACCTTATATACTCTTCTCTCTAGCCTCAATTAAACCTCTGATATAACTTACTACATTACAGATATCACTATGTCACTTTTTATATCGTGTAGATAATACCTTACATAAAAAAATACATCAAAAAACCTTATTTTTACATTAATGAAATATTTTTTTTTTCTTATCATAGCCTCAGCCTATTGATTAAGTTAAAGATAATCTAGCTTGTAATGTTGTAACTATTACTGATCTAACAAGTTGTCATACACAAAATTTTCGCTAAACAAATTATTTTCACAATAAAAGTTACTAACCATTATACCAACTCATCTAATGATAATGGCCAATATAAAAGGAGGCTGAGAAGTGCATTCAAGCAACAATACAATTTATTAAATATTTTCTATTATTACACAAAATTAAATACACCCCATAAAATAAATTTTATGATCAGTAATAAAAAATCTTTCTATTAATTTTGATATTTATTAAATAAAGAAAATATTAAAATTTTTCAAGTTTTCAAAATATTAAATTTTCTTTTTCATTTAATATTTTATTTAATAGATGAAGAATGTGTTAAATGTTTATAAGTTTCCGAAACATCAAATTTACTTATTTTTAGATTTCATATTTTTTCCTTAAGATATTAAACGGATTTACAATGTTTATTTTTGTAAAAAAAATGTGTATAATTTTAAAACACAAATTGATATTAAATGAACTGAGTATTATATATATATATTAAATACTATTAATTTTTTAAACATTAAATAATTCTGAATTTTTATATAATTAATTAATTTTTTTAATTATTTATCATGTACTCCTTATATGATATGAAAATATTAAATACACTACATTAAATACGTTAATTATTATAAAATGCAAGTATTGAAGTATTTTACTGTGTTTGATATCGATAAACATTTTCTCTTTTTTCTTTTTACTTCTTACCCTAATAGATTGTCATTAAAAATACTTTTTTTAATATATTTTTACTTTTTATTTTCTATTAATCTCTGATTAAAAATGAAAAAAAAAAA